TGAGCTGATGATGACGTCAGGGTCTCCAAAAGGAGAAAAACACACAATAAAGAGAAAACAACAAGCTTGGTTTGGAGTTCTTTTGGCAGTTTCTCTCTGTGTGGGAGGACGGCTGTGACAACTGCTATTTAGGAGGAGAACAAAGAGAGTAGGGCCATCAGGGGGGGGGGGAAGCCCCCTCCATGTCTGGAGACAGGTGAAGCTCCTGGACACGTCGCACAGCTTTATCTGCTACACAAAGCCAGTGTCCTTCAAAAGTCCTGTTTTCCACTTTGTTTGGTGTCCACTACTCCCTGGTTTCTGTAAATGCCCCTCGGTGGCTTTGGGCTTGCAGGATGATGAGAAGAAAACAGTGTCTGGTGATCCTGCCCCTGCTCCCTCATTAGCCTGCCCTCCTGCTCCCGGTTCTTCTGTAGAACTCCTATGCTGCTCTTCATCCTTGCCTTGTCATGTCTCTTCATCAACCATGGTGTCCACCCCTTGTCCAATTATACTTCACCCCTGATTCTTTTACTATTTTTCCATTTTCCAATGACATGAGCCAGTATTTATTCTCATTTCACCTTACCAATAGAAAGACAGAGGTAGGTGAGGACTGAGGAGTGAGGTAAAAACTAGAGGGAAACAGCACATTTCTGGATATATTTGGAAATAAATAAAAAAAAATTCTCAAAGATTTCAAAGATTGAAATATCTCCAACTCCAAAACTGGCTGGAGCTGGAGTACTTGCACACACACAGGGAGAACATGCAAACCCCACACAGAGGGTCCCGGCCCACTGGGGACTTAACCAGAAACTCTATTGATAGGGAAAACTGAAGGAAATCATGAGCAGAAGGCTAGTTTTGTTTTGAGCAAGACAATATCTGGTGACGTTTTACAAACAGAAAAACATAGTGATGTCACCGCTTTAGTCACCCAGACACCACATTCTAGAGGACAGGATCTTTACACAGCAAACTTCCGGCCCATCAGCGGGCCACACAGAAATAAGAAACCATGCACTCAACAGGCAGCTTAGAATTACAATGAACCTAAAATGCATCATCTTTAGAGAAAGCTGGAGCAGCCAGGAATGGCCTCCGTTCAGGATCTGAACCAGGACCCTCCAAACTGCGAAGCGATGCCACTAATCATAAAACCACAGTGCAACCCTCCAAAACAAAGATGTAGATGGTACCATGTTTAAAATGAGCACATTTAAATAAATAAAAAAGGTTTTTGTTTTTCAGCAATTTGTTTATCATTGGAAACATTTTAATAACCATTTACTTGTACAAATAGCAAACACCGGTGACTGATTGGTGGATTATATAAAGTTATAGTGTGTAGACCACAGTGTTTAAGTGCTATCTTTATGAGCAGTCATTTGCTCTACAGGGATTGCACAGTTGATTATAACACTGCACCACAGACCCAATTACATTTCTGTGAAAGAGCTGTGAGAATTAGTCTAGTGCTCGCAGACAAAGAGCGTCATCCATTTTAATCAGGATAAGAAAAAAGGCTAGAGGAAAGAAGATGACACAATGATTAAAATAGCACGCCATTATCAATGCAAATATAGAAACATAATTATCTTTGTGTATTCAACACCTTTAACCACTGTTTTAGATCTTTGGCCTCTTTATCCTTTCATTATCACTGAATCACTCCACAAGCATTGGGCTTCTTCCCTTTTCTGTTAGTCCGGTCACTCCTTCTGTCATTTCATCCTCCACTTCCTCCATCCTTTTTCTGACCATTAGGCAGTCCCAGCTGCCCTTTAGTTGTTATGGAGACTGAGGGATGAAGTGTGTGAAAAATGGCTTTCCTGATCGGGTCAGTGTTATTTAGTCTATGGCCTGAGCCAAGAGTTGAAATTCATTTGGGGTACAAAAAGATTTTTATGACCTGAAATTGTGCCATATAACATCTATGTAATATTTGTCTAATTTGCAGTGTTAGAAAAAGATCAAATGTCACAGGCAAATGGACTGTGGTTATTGTTTCTGTACGGTGGGTTGTTGGTTTGTTAGAAACAATCACTTTGTAATAGACGGGTGGATTTTAACAGCAAACTGGTTTATAAGCACTACTGTGATAACTGGCCTCTAGTTATACATGATGAGCATCATTTGCAGAGGAACTGTGTGAGTAAAAGGTTGCTCCTGCTTGATGAAAGAAAAATGTAGTTATATTATAGAAGACTGTTTTGTTTAACTGTAACAAAAACTAAATATTGTACGATAAAAATATAACCAAGGCTTAGACATTATAGAAGACATAGAACAGAAATCATAAAAAGCTTGCAACATTTTTGCTATTGATGGTAGTTTTTCAAGTTGCATTGGGGAAAAATAAGTTTTTTCTTTATTTCTAATCATACTGATTGCAGTACTATCATTGTTTGCAACTCACACCTAGTAGCTAAATTTGGTTCAGATTTAGATCTTTGAATATAAACTTTCAACAAGTTCTGACAGAGTGTGAACACACACACACACACACACAAACACACATACACACACTCTCTCACACACACACTACATTCTGTAGTACGCTACATTTTTATGTGACTATATTTAATTTTGAAAATTGAATCTAAATTACAATCTGTGCTTACTGTCACAACTCTACATTGTTTTTTGTTCTAACATGGATTATATATCAACAATATTGTAGTAAACAGACATATCTGCTAGCTTCATAGTCTAGCAACGTCTAGCTGTGATAGAACTTTTACTGTGAAAAGAATGGATATCCAGATTCTAAAAGACAAAACACAGTGAAGTAGTTCAAGTCAAAGGTAAAATGTACTGCAGAGAGAAAGCTAAATCAGAAAGAATAAATGTTTCAAATGCAACCAAAGCATGAGGTGAACTGCTGCTCTCTCCCCCACAATCCTGGCCGATCATTTCTCGGACTGCTATCGAGCACTCAGCCTTCTGGTCATTGGCAGCCCATCTTTGACGGGAATGAGAAAGGTGAAGGTTAGCAACAGAACCTGGCAGATTTTAATCAGCCGGGGGAAGCACAACACATGGCTGATTTGGCTCAAAGAAGCAATTTGGCAAACAATCTATTTCCTGCCTGTAGTTTTTTTTCCCTCCCTTAAACAGGAATATTCATTTATCTGTTGAGTGTCTACGTTAAGTTGGTTTCACAGTTTAAGGAGAATCATTGATTGGGAACAGAAACCACTCTGCTCCCAATGAACATCCATTGTTATGAAGTTTAATAAATTAAAAGATAAAATGAAACTGATAAGAAAATAACAGACTGCTTCTCCCTCCAGCAGATTGAAAGCTATTTATTGCATACTTAAAAAAAACCCAAAATTTCCAAATTAAACTGGATTTTCATGTCGATGTACTTTGTCTCTTACTTTCTGTTTATCTGTTGTT